GGGTAATAACCCACAGCCCTCCAGCCCCCCCTGCAGGGAGGCCATAGTTGAGGAGCAGACCTGTATGTGGCACACTGTGGTCCCCCGAGGCAACCGTGCCTCCTAATAACCGGTAAATGGGTAAGAGTCAAAGCACCTCCTGATCATAGAACATTTGAACAGAGAAAACACCTAGCATAAAACACTAGTACACCAGTTTCAAACATTTGTACCGGAGGGCCCCCGGTATCAGGAGCCGCCCTGTAACCGAGGGTTGCAGGAGCATGGGCGCGGAGGCATTGGCCCCTCTTTCCGACCAGTCTGGGCACGAGCGCGGCTGAGCCAGGGGGTACCTAGGAGGGAATACAAACAATCCCCCCAGCAACACAGAAAATTTAAAACTACAGAACATATGTACTAAGTGTATTCACATGTGGCTGGATGTGAGTGGGGGAGCAGGACCGGCGCTCCAAGGGGGAACCCCATGCCGCAATCCCAGGAGGGGCACCACCCAATCCGAGTGGATACCCAAATTATGGAAGAGGTGAGGCATCAACCCCCATCTTCCAAGCCCCTCCGCCAGTGGGGCCAAAAATGGGGAGCGGAAACATACGTGGCACATTAGGTTCCCCCACAGCGGCTGCCCAAACCTCCACATCCAACAGCCAGCATCAAAAGTGTATACTAGTATCAGCTGTCAGGGGTAAATAACTTCAATAGCGAAGGTCCATAACAGGAGCTGGAAAAAAAACTCAGCGGCCAGATGAGAGAGAAGACTACAATCACGGCTCATTGTTGGAAGGTTGCGGTGGCGATGATCTACGTTGTCGCGATTGACGTCGGGCTCTGCGAAGCGTACCCACCGTGGTAAGGGGGCGCCCAGGTTCTTGATGAGGGTGAGGGCGGGAGGCATTAGGGACAGCATCTGGGTGCGTAGACATGGTAATAGAGGAGCCCAACCAATACGTCACTTCGACTTGGGCAATGTCCAGAAAAGTAAAAAGATCTGGCAACATTTCTGGGGATTTTAGTAGAAAGGTGGCCGCTTCCTAACGATCAGGTGGAAAGGGAAACCCCACCTGTAGGTAGCCTCTAATAAGGGTTTCAACAGATGTCGCATTTGTAGGGTATTTCTTGAGAAGTCTGGAAGAAGGTGAATTGGGGCACCGTCAAAGTTGAAGTTGAGGTTGCAAGCTTGTTGCGTTATGGTTTCCTTCTTGGTGTAAGAGTGGACACGGCAGATAACATCCCGAGGTCGGGTCACATCAGAGGAACGCGGGCCCTGGTATCTGTGAGCTCTATCAAGCTCAATCGGGGTAGCGGGGGGCAGGTCCAGGTATAGGTTGAGGATGCCTTGTACGGTATCTTTAAGATCCGATGGGCCTGTCGATTCCGGGATACCCCGAATACGTATGTTATTCCTCCTACCTCGATTGTCCTGGTCGTCCAGATGGAGCATCATGGCGATCATGTTCTGACGATATAGCAACTGAGTGTCTTCTATGTTGGTAAGTCTCTGAAGAATGTCAGAGTGTGACTGTTCCACCACTGTGACCTTTGAAGTGACAGAAGCGATCTCCTCCCGCACGGCCGCAATATCTTGTTTGTATGCAGTCTCTATACGTTGTGCAAGAGTTTCAAAGTCCATCTTAGTGAGGAACAAAGCTGCCATATCCACCTTTGTTGGGAGGGTAATGAGAAAGCCCTGCAGGTCTGCCTCTAAGCTAGGGTTGGGCATGGGGGGCTGAGGAAGCCAAGGGGGCTGTGAACACAGTTTAGGTGGGGGAGGTTCTGAGTGCCACAAACCCATAGAACTGTCCTCTGTGGCCATGGTAGGGGGTACAGTCCAGGTCATGTCCTCAATGGGTTCAAGAGGAGCTGCAACAGACCCATATGGAAGAGGGCTAATTGGAAGAGGTGGCCCTGTTTCCCTCCCCCCCTCCTGCCTGGCTGGCGGTGTGCAGTGATGTCATACCTGATTGGCCAGAGGTATAGGGCGCTGTAGGAGGAGGAGAGGCCTGGAGAGCTGGGGTGGTCGAGTGGTGAGCGTCACACTATACGCTCCAGGAGTGCGGCAAGCCCGGGGTGAGTCAGCACCGGTTGCGGCCTCCACCCGACTCTTTCGCCGGGTGTCTGCTGACGAGGCTGGAGCGTCTTCTGAGACGGGAGTCGGCCGAATCTTCCGCGGCCGCTGCTCAGCGGGCAGGTTCCGGGCTCCCAGTTTGTCACCCACGGCTGGGGAAGTGCTGGGGAGGGCCGATCCCGGGTCCCTAAGTGGAGTGTGCCACCGCGTGTTGGACGTCCCAGACGTCACGAACAGGCGCTGAAACGCCGTTTTGGGGGTGCACTTCGAACCCCGCTGCTTCCCCTTCTTGGACATCCGTGCAGAGGGCGCAGTTGTGGGAGAGAATCCCTTCTAGCAGGTAAGTCTGGACCGGAGCTGCTGCAACGTGCTCCTCAGTCCTCCATGGTTTGGCCACGCCCTCATATATATTTTTTAATATATTCTGTATATGAGATTTTAGTGACTGGGTTTACATGTAATATATATATAAACTAATACAAATATCAACAAATGAATTTAAACATGACCATGACCAATTGCTATAGTGTCAATGTAATTTTGTCTTTATTTTTCAGGTGTACTGGCATATCAGATTGAAGAATAAATAATATTTGTATAAATCAAAGGTAGACAACCTTGGCACTCCAGCTGTTAAGGAACAATGCACCCCATGAGGCACTGCAAGACCCCCACAGACACGATGCCTAGAGGCAGAAGCATTATGGAATTTGTAGTTTCACCACAGCTGAAGTGCCGAGGTTGCCTACCCTTTGATTAAATGTATTACAGACTTCAAAGAAACATGTTATCTGCAAATCATTTTATTACCTCAACAGAAGTAACTCCTGGCTGCTGGCCAATAAGAACACTCCCCTCTTCCTCTAGACGTGCTATACGTTGATCTCTAACGACAGCTTGGCTCCTTATTAAAGGAGATACATCTAGCAGCCAATTGCTACCCAGGAAGTAGGTCAGCTGACGGCTACCATCCAAGGAATGAGCCACAAAGTGGGCAAGAAAGCGTACTTGAGCTCTTTGATACTGAGCCTGACAACTCGGACTTCTGCGATCTGAAGCAACTTTGCGTTCACCGTCATTTGCATTCTGAGAGTAGCCAAAAGATCTGAGAAGAGTAGAAAAATCATAAATACAATATATAATAACATTTTGACTTACATATGAATGCATTGGTAATCATTTTAACTATATTGGATAGTTGAACCATACCCTTTTAAATAGGCGGATTTTAGGGCCTTGATTGTATCATTCTGCTAGAATAATCCTGGGTTTAGAATGTTTTATACCAATCTATGATAATCCATATTCTTGTAATTTGCCATTTATATATACTATTATTTAAAAATTGAAATGGAAATCTACATAATTATTGGGAAAAAAAACAATTTATTCTGTAAATTGTAGTGTAGCAGGGTTGTGTGACTCACAAGACTGCCTCAACAGAATTACTAAAAGTTTTGGCAGGTAAAGTCATCCACCCATATACAGTATATTTCAGTGTATTTAACTGGTTAAGATGGAATTTTCCTCCCATACTCCAAAGACATGCTGGTAGGTTAATTGGCTCCTTGTATGCATTTGAGATAGGGACCTTAGATTGTAAGTTCCTTGAGGTCAGGGACTGATGTGAATGTGCGCTATGTAAAGTTAAGGTTTGAAAATGAAAGAGAGAAACTGATTGTTTGCCATGCACAGCTGCTCCAGATTTTGTCTGCTCCAGGTTTTGCTAAATTCCCCTCTCTGTATATTAAATAGACCAAAAGGGACAAAAATCAGAAAAGTTTATTGTTTGGGTTTACATACACTTTAATAAGGCTGGGGGATATGACAGGTTCCCTTTAGTAATGTATTTTTTAAAATTGTAATTCTTACCCTGAACTTGGCAAACGCTGCAAATTTGTGTCTGACACCTCAACTCTCAATGGAAGCAGAGGTACCCAAAGAGACAAGGAAAGAGAGGAGCGGAGGCGTTCTAACCAAAACTCCACCTTCACATCCACAGCCCCCTGAGTCTCCTTACCACCCACAAACAGGAAATCACAGCCATCTGAAACCTGAAAAGAAAATATGGTTGCAGACAGAAAGATTATTCACTTATCATTTATTGTCACTTATCATTTTGATACAAAATCATGACACAGACCTGGACAATCTGTGCACTTGGAGTTTCACAGCCTGCCTGTTTGGTAACATCAACTACATGTCCACCAGCTTCCAAAGCCAGCACTCTCACTGGGATCTTCTGGGAAATGCCAGTTAGGAGGGCTGTGTTCAAAATTTCATTTGACTGCAGAAGAGGAAAACAAACATAGAAACAGTTCAAGAGCTAAGAGGAGGTATTCCAGTCAAAACCAATATTTCTGATAAGGGAGAGCAACAGTGAGCTGAATTGCACATTGCTTCATGTGTTATGGATAGGAGCAGTGAGAACCCCTAGTTAGTGTCTTCTTTGTGAAGCTATTTTAGGATTCTACAAGACAATTAAAGCGGAACTCTTTTTTTTTTTTTTTTAACCGCTGCAGTGGGGCTACCCCTGCACTGTACGGGTTAAAGGAGAACTATGGGCTAAGTGTTTTCCCCCATAGTTCTCTTTTGGGTCACGGGAGGACATAAACTAGCGTCCTCCCGTGACCCAAAGCTCAGTATACCGCGAGCTACAGCTCGCGGTATACCGAGACCGCCGCAGCCGGGACGGATCCCAACATTACTGTCGAGATCCACCCAGCTGCGTGATTGACAGCTGGCTCTGCCTATCTAGAGGCAGAGCCAGATGTACCCGCCCCTTCCCCGTTCGTTCCTCCAGTCAGCGATGGAGGATCGGAGCAGGGAGGGGGGAATCCCTGCAGGGAGTAACATTCACGGCTCTCTGCAGGGACAGGATCGAGAAGTGAGCGAGCGACAGTATGTGTTCGCTCACTTCCCGATCTATTGAGCCTATGTGTGACAGTTTAGTTGTCACACGTCGGCTCGAACTATGAGGCAGAGTGATTTTCACTCACCTCATAGTTCTCCTTTAAGTGCTTGTTTTTGTCTAGGTGCAAAAAAAAAAAGGGGGTATACTCAGGGATCACAACCTGAAAAAAAGTAATTTCAGGGAGCTGCCCTCTGCCCCTCCCCCCCATCCAGGAGGGGGGGGGGGAGCACCCCACTGAAATGATGGCAAATAGCAAAGAAGCTAATGCTTCCCTGCTGCCGCCAGAATAAAAAAAAAAACCAGCATAGGAATGAAAAGCTAGATTACTATTGGCTATTTCAATATGCAATAGCAAGCAAGATAGGGGACCTGATGGAGAACTTCAGGTCCACCTCTGCTGATTGACAGCAGCAGTGGGCAGGTGCAATAGCTAGTCTGTTATTGGCTATTGCAAATTCAAATAGCCAATAGCAATCTAGCTATTAATTTCTATGCCGCCTTTTGTTTTTCTTTTCACTTGACGGCGGCTTTGATATCAGAGTAAAAAAACAAACAAACCAGACAGCAGGGAAAGGTTTAGTTTGCTAGATAAAGCAGAGTAAACCTCTCCGGGAGAAAGCGTTTCTCTCCCGGGCGGCCTGGAGCAGCTATCTAATAGTGGGAGACTCCTGGAATGTCTCCCGGGAGAGTTGGAATGTCTGTATACTAACCTGATCCTCGGAGCCAGCTTGCTTTTAGACTGGTCCCTGGAACCTTCCTTCCCCTCTGCTGCAGCAGTCTAAGGTTTTGGTAAATAATCATGTTCTATACACAGTGTATAGACGTGAAGATGCTAAAGAACATTCCAATGTTGCAGTGTAGGAGGAGAGATGCTTCAGTGACCGGAGAAGCAGGCAGCCGGCTAAGCGGTTCGGATGAGTATAACTTTTTTTAGCACCTAGACAAAAACAAGCACTTAACCCTTGCAGTGCGGGGATATCCCCACTGCAAGGGTTAAGAAAACTTTTACCTGCAGTTCTTGTTAAAGTAAAGGGTGAGTCATTCTGTCACTGACCTTATAACACAAGTAATTTATCAATTTTGGGTGTACAAAGGTTTTTATGCTACTCATGAAAGCATGCCTAAATCCAAAAATTTGATATATTGCTGCTTATCAGTCATTTTGAAAGCTTTAAGAAGAGTTGTGTTGATCACAGAAGATGGCTTGAAAAGCTAATAACAGTACACAAGATGTTACAATGGTACTCAATTTCTATAACGATCAACAAGTATTTTTCTGTACTTGCTTAGTGTGTTGTCAATGTCATCTATTTTTATTATTTCTGCTGTTTCAGTTACACTGCATATATATTTCATTGCAATTCATTAAGTTATGCTGTATTTTTAGCTACTAGTGGTAGATTAGCACTGTTACTGCCCAATCTGTACATTGTTTGGTATCTTCCATTTACTGCTGTTTATTGAACAGTTTTCTGCTAGATTTTCCCAGCCTCTCTTTTCTACTTCCTTATTGCTTCACCCCTCACTGAGGTAAGAGGGTCTCTGTCCAACCTGTTAATGGCAAAGATAAGAATGTCTTTTCACCTCTAAGAATGACAAGAATCACATCGTCTGCATTGTGAAGTCTGAATAAACTACATTGGATTCTAGAAAAACATGGTAACCGAATGAATTTATAACCAGCCTTTGCAGCAGGGTGCACATGCAGTCGACTGCATTAATATGCTCACACTTGGAGACTCATACAAATAGAGTTAGGACATGGGATTTTTTGTGTTTTACATTGGATTCTACTCTGAGTCTTCTTAGTGAGTTGGGCACTATCTGGGAATAATCACCCAAGTCAGTAGGTTGTCATACTATCTGTACAGATGAGTCTCACGAAAGTATGTGCAAATACATAAATCGGTGGCTGTTCCACAATACTTATCCTGGAAAAAAAAAAAAATAATACAGCCACCACATCTAGTCTTGCCAGGACTAGTAAGCTGCAATATATGAAATTTTTGTTTTTGGGTTTAGCTATAATTTTAGACGTCGTTAATGCTTAATATATACGTAGAATCTAAGAGATCCTCATTCAAAATTGTACCTTCACCAGTGGGAAAATTGCTCTAAGATCACGATCCGATACCAGCACTTCAGCACTGCCCCGAAAACCTGCTGGAGCTGCACTTGTCCCAGGGCCATCAAGCTGGAATGTGATTCTTCGTGAAACAGCAGAGCCTACAGATACATTACCAACAAGAAAATCCAAGAGAGCGACAACTAGATAGGACCTGTAAAAAAGATATAGAAAAGGCACAAAAATATTGACAACAAATATTTACACTGACAATCAAAAAACAACACACACTTTTAGAGTATTTTAAGTTGAAACGCTCATGAACTGGGGTAAATCAATAAAACATTATGTAATGATGTTATTCTTATAGAGTTAATTGTGCAATACAGAAACTCCCCGTTAGCTGGCATTCAAGCAAACGTCACTCTCGTGTACACTAAAATAAAATGTCGTTAGCAAATAAATTTACAGCATTTAGTTGCTAACGAAATTTGCAGCTCACATCTTGCTGCCGGCAGGCGGCTAGACTCCACAGTCAGCAACTGAATGTAAAGAAATTGTAACCGCAGGCTGGCTGTTGCACCCGCCCACTGGGCAGAGGAACCGACCTCGAGTGAACTTATTCTCACAGGTCTGCTCCCCTGCTCAGTGGGTGGGTGCAATAGCCAGCCTTCTATTGGCTATTGCAGTTTAAAATAGCCAATAGCAGGCTGGCTGTTGCACCCTTCCACTGAGCAGAGAAGCGAACCTGAGAGAGAACTTTCTCAGTTCACCTCCTCTCCTCAGTGAGAGGGAGCAGGTTATTGCACCCACCCAATGAGCAGAGAAGCAGACTTTCTCTCTCGGGTTGCTTGAGAGTTACTATTACCTCTCAAGCAACCAGAAACTACAGTTATCCGGCATCTATAGATCCCCGTGGGTGGCAGATAACTGGGAGTTTACTGTAGTACAGTTTTAAAATCTCCACAACTACTTTCTTGAGATTAAAACTTTAAGGTCATAACTAGGGATGCACCGATACTAGTACTCGTGCAAATCCTCCGATACTTACGAGTACCTGTGCCGGTGGTTCTGTGTCCTCCAGGGACACAGAACCGCCACAACACAGAACCTGCCGAAACCACTGGGGACAAAGAACCTCTATAACTGCCACCTTCAGTGAAAAAATCCGGCCGCGAACACCGCCTCCAGGGAACGAACCACCGATGCGAACGCCACCTCCAAGTCCTCTGTCCTCACTTTTGAGTGGTGAGGAAGCCTGTTAATCACCCAATTGGCCAATCAGCAGGCGGAGAGACCAACAAGGGGTAGATGACTGGGCTGTGACAGGAAGTGGCTGAATGAGACGGAGACGACACAGCACAGCAAGTTAGAAGCATTGCCTGGCTGTTTGCCACATGTGATACATTTTTTATTTATTTATATATATAT